TAGAAAAAAATAATGATTTTTCGAAAAAAAATCGCCTCAAAGATGGTGATATAATTTTAATATTTCCCACCACAGTGCATGGTTGTGTACTAAATGGCGGAACAAAGAGATGGCAATTTCAGACTGCTTAGCGTGCTTGAAGTAATGCTGTGATCAGTAGCGACCAAGACACTTTAACAAATGAACGCTAAATTTTAATACATCAATCCCATTACTATTAGAGCCCACGGAGGGAGAATTATACGATACAATCATTTATTATACGGTTAATATAAAATGTGACCTAAAATATTATAAAGGAATATAATATTTTAGATTGCACCTAATCTAAAATATTAATTTTATTTTAATTTTTTTCGATTATAAATATATTTTAAGTTATAACAAAAAATATTACTATTTTTATAATATTTTAGATTATAACCCAAAATATTAAAAATATAATCTTTTAAATTATACGTAACATAAAATATTATATTATTTATAATATTTTAAGTCACGTCTTTCTTTAATCTTATATTATATTATCGCACCCCAAAACTCCTCCACCCAGCCGAGACAACAAAATCTAAAGAATATCAACTACTCTACACGGCCAAAGACGTGAGACAAAACAAGAAATCTAAATAGTTATATGACTTTGTTTAAGGGCTATTTCAATCTCCCTGCTTCTACCAAAAGGTCAAATACTGTTGAATAACCAAGAAAACTCTAAGAATTTGCACATATGATTTTATTCAATCATCAAGATGATTTCATGCCTCACGTTTTCACCAGCTTATATAGCAGCTTTACAAAACCCTTAAACCTGCTCAACAGAATTCTATTACACAATTAGTAATACCATCCTTGTAACTAACAGCCTCTAGAATCATCTTTAACCATCCTATACACACGCACGCACAGGAGCTTCCATGGGACTGCTATATCATACGCAACAACTCTCAATATTCTCCCTACTTCTTCTCGTCTTCAGCAATCAACCAAACTTTTAGCTTATCACGAAAGCAAATAAATGTTGATTTTGACAATGGCTTGGTCAAACCATCGGCAGCTTGATGAGATGCAGGAACATAGCTCACATAGAGCTGATTTGCTGCAATTTTTTCTCCCACAAAATGAACATCTAAGTCCACATGTTTGGACTGCGAATGATATACGGGATTAGCACTTAGAGCAATTGCACTCGTGTTGTCGCACCATATAGTGGACTGCTTATCACGTGGCACTTTCAAGTCAGCAAGCAAAGCATCGACCCACGCTACCTCTGTTGCAGCATCCGCAAGACTCCTATACTCAGCTTCCATGGTAGACCGAGAAACTACCTTTTGTTTCTTTGCATTCCATGACACGAGACTGTCTCCAATAAAAACACAATGACCAGACATTGATCTCCTGTCATCAGCACAACCCCCCCAGTCAGCATCCGAGAAGGCTGAAACTTGCAATCTACCTGGTACAAACGCAAGACCATAGTTCAGTGTCCCTGCCAGGTAACGTAGAATGCGCTTAGCAGTAAGTAAGTGTTGTTCTCTAGGAGCATGCATATACTGGGCCACCTTGTTCACACTGAAGGCAATATCAGGCCTTGTGTGACAAACATAGAGTAGACCACCTACCAAACTGCGAAATTCACGAGCATCAGCAAGCAAGTGTCATTCATCCTTATTCATCTTGAACGAAGCAACCATAAGAGTAGCTGTGGATGTAGCTTTGACCATTCACGCCTTCTCAAGTAGTTCCAATATGTACTGTTTTTGACTAAGAAACAGCAATTGATCACATCGTTTTACTTCAATACCTAAGAAGTAATGCAACTCACCTAAGTCTTTTAAGGCAAACTGATTTTTCAATAGCATCACCACTTTCTCAATTCCATCCGACGACTGTCCTGTGACTATTATATCATCAACGTAAACTAAAACATAAGTCGATACTCCATCTTCTGTTAAAACAAACAGAGAAGCATCGGCTCTGGACTCCTTGAAACCAAGATGAAGTAGATTGTTCTTCAACTTAGCATGCCAGTTTCGTGGTGCTTGACGCAGACCGTACAAAGATTTTTGAAGCTTGCAAACTAACTTACCACCATCGGGAGTGTATTGCTCGAAACCAGGTGGCTGATGCATGTATACGTCTTCATGCAAATCACCGTGAAGGAATGCATTGTTGACATCCACCTGCCTCAATGACCAGCCTCCAGATACGGTAAGAGCAAGGACGACATTCAACGTGGAGAATCGAACAACAGGACTGAATGTTTCCTTAAAATCTTTCCCGGGCACCTAAGAGTACCCTTTAGCCACCAGTCGTGCCTTGTATCGTTCCACGGACCCATCAGAATTATGCTTTATCTTAAAGAGCCACTTGCAACCTACTGTGGTTCGCCCTTCAGGTAGCTTCACAAGCGTCCATGTGTTATTGTTCTGAAGTGCAGTGAGTTCAGCATGAACTGCTGCACTCCATTCTTTAGACTTCATCGCTTCATCAATGGATGTAGGAAGAGAGTCACTCAAGGAACTAACAAATGCCTTGGGCTTAAAGATCCCACACTTGCTTCTTGTTAACATGGGATGCTGATTTGGTAATGTCAGATTTTTCTCAGGAGCAGCCTGCATGTGATCATTAGTTAGATGCTCAGGCGCTGCAGAAAATAGCTGGGTATATACAATATCTTGAGACTCAGTTATGCTGTCTTGTTCAGCTAAATTATCAGCAGCACCTTGTACACTGGAACCCACATCATGTTGACTACTAGAGTCTTCATGCATATGCGAAGACGTGTGAGAATGTATTGAAGGTTCAGCCACATCCTTTGCGTGTACTCGGTTTGACACAATCGGTAAAGGTGCCGATTTCCACGCACGGATATCAGATATACAACCAGATTGTTGTTTCTCTGTAAACGGAAACACATCTTCATCAAATTTGACATGTCTCAAAATATACACTCTACCATCCTGAGCAAGACACTGAAATCCTCTGTACTGGGAGCTGTAACCCAAGAACACACACGGAGAAGAGCGAAACGTTAGCTTGTGTTGTTAAAATGGCCTCAAATGAGGAAAACACCGACAACCAAACACGCGTAGTGACTTGTAGTCAGGTTTGGATCCAAACAATTTTTCAAATGGTGAGATGTTACCTAACACCCTTGTTGGTAACCGGTTTATTAAATGTGCTGCTGTGGCCACAACATAAGACCAAAATCTGAATGGAAGGGCTGCCTGGGCAAGTAGCACAAGAGCCAGTTTGATTAAATGGTGATGCTTCCGTTCTACAACGCCATTTTGTTCAGAGGAATGCGAACATGTGACTCGATAGGAGATACCTGCACGAGTCAGCTCACACGACAACTGCCTGTATTCAGCTCCCCAATCACTTTGAAATGATTTAATGTTAAAGAAAACTGAGTTCCAACCATTGATTGAAATAACCGAAATGCATCAAGAGCCTGAGACTTATTTTTGAGCATGTAAACCCAAGTATGGCGTGTGCATGCGTCTACAAATGAAACGTAGTACCGATAGCCACAGGAGAGAACATGTGCAGCACCCCAAAGATCGGTATAAACTAGTTGAAAAGGATTGCTATAAACTGTAGTAGAAGAATCAAAGGGCATCTTGTGGCTCTTTCCCATGCAACAGGCAACACAAGTGGAATTAAGAGCATTTGAAATATTGACATTGATCGAAGTACACACATCTTTTAGTGTTTGAAAGGCAGGATGTCCTAATCTCCTATGCCAAAGTTCAAACACACTAAAAGCGACAACATTATGAACTTCAGCTTTATTACATGAAGTAACTGTAGGTTCTATAGCAAACGTATAAAGTCCTTCACGCTGCTGCCCTTGAAGCATCACAGCACCAGTCATCTCATCCCGAACAAAACACTCATCAGCATGAAATTCTAGGAAGACTTTGTTATCCTTAGCAAGCTTGGACACAGAAAGAAAATGCTTCGTTATTCTTGGTACATGCAAAAGATTGCTCAAAATTAATGTCTGAGGAGAAGCATGTAAAACAGAAGAACCAACCGAGTTTACCCTTAGAGAAACACCATTGCCTACTAGAAGTTTACCTGGTCCAGTAAACTCGGAGGAGTTCATCACCTTGGAGGCATCTGGAGTTACGTGATGGGTCGCACCAGAATCAATAACCCACTGTTCACCTGAAGCCATGTGTGTTTGAGGAAGATTAGAACCAGTCTTACCACTACAAAGAGCACATCCTGATGAATCAAGAAGCACACAGTTAGTAGCACCCGATTCATTTCTGGACTGTGACGAACCAGACACCGCATTGACCCCAGGGAAGTCGCGATCAAATCTGTACCAACATCGATCGACCGAATGCCCATTCTTGCCACAGAGTTGACATTGAAGGCGGGCACGACCTCGATCACCAGATCGTCCCCCACGAGTTGACTCAGTCGAAGCAGCCACAGACCTTCCTTGAACCATATGCGCACTCATTGGAAAGCTCTCAGACTGAGAGTCAAACCCAGCAATCTGAGTCTCGGCGTCGACCAGCATGGAATAAACCTGATCTAATGAGAGTGACTCACGGGTGGTTGTAATTACGGCCATAAACGACTGATGCTCTCGTGGCAAGCCTTTAAAGATGCTCACAATGTGCTCGACTTGAGACACTGGGCTCCCACACGAGGCAAGGGCGTCACAGATCTCTTTGACTCAGATGAGATAAACTCGAATCGAGTCATCACCTTTCTTCATGGACTGAAGTTTGTAGTGAAGATTCATGACAGTAGTCGTGGACTGATTGGCGAAGAATTGCAGGACCATGTTCCAGACTGCGGCAGCCGACTCGGCACCCACAAATTGTGGCAGCAATGGAGCACTGATCGTGGAGAGAAGCCAGGACGCAAGCGCACTGTCTTGTGCCACAAAGTCTTCATGAGCTTCATTCACCACTGTGTCGCCATGCTCATTGACAACCGTTTCTGATGGAGCTGGTAGAGTGCCGTTCAACAACCGTTCGAGACGGTGACTGCGCACGGTGAGCAGGATCTGTTGCTTCCATAACAGGAAGTTCGTCTCGTCCAGCACGATATTCACTCGTTTGTTATGACTTTAACTAGTTGTAGTGCAAATCACTCAATTTCTCTGATTAATATTGAAAAACACCATGTCTCCAAAATAAAAGTTTTCATCTTTTTTTCTCTCATTCAACTCCGAGGGCTGAGACGACAACTAATAAAAAAAGTCGAAAAGGAAAAACATGTGTCACAATATAGGATATGTTGATATTTCAGCACACACGTCGATAATTATTATATGCTCATAATAATTATTAGGGTAAACTATACCAATGATCATCCAATTATAGTCTATTTTCATTTTGATCATTTTTGAATTCTTGTCAATCAGATCACTCAACTATTTAAATGCATTTAATCATGTCACTTACCGTTAACACTTATAGAATATACAAGTAACTATAACCAAATGTATAATTATGCCAATTTTACTAACTACCACATCATCACTTCCGTTAACTGTTAACGAAAAGTGACCTGATTGAATCTATTTAAATAGTTGGGCGACTTGATTGATAAGAATTCAAAATGATGGTCAAAATAAAAAGAGACTATAGTTGGGTGGTCACTTCTATAGTTTACCCTAATTATTAATATAAGGATATTGGAAGAGACTACCTAACCACCCAAACTCAACACCAACAGCAAAAAGTTGGAAACATCAAAGCTTCTCCCAAAGCTTCTTTCTTTCCAATCATCGGTTCTTTTATTAGCTTTGATGAAATGGTGAAGAACACCAACGGCGCCATGGATACAACAACAAAAACAAAGCAGAGTTTGGTTTTTGCTGTTAATGGACGGAGATTTGAGCTGTGTAACGTTGACCCTTCAATGACCTTGCTTGAGTTTTTGCGATACCAAACTCCTTTCAAAAGCGTCAAGCTCAGCTGCGGTGAAGGTTTTCCTTTTTTTCATCTCTCGTTTTATTATGTCTTCTTTGTATTTGCCTGCATCTGAATATGTTTTTGAATACAATGGATTGTAATGTGCAATTCTGTTAATTTATTTATTATTTATCATGGGTTTTCATTTTTTTATGAGCTTTGCACTATTTTTTTGGAGGCAAGTGAAGTGAATGTGCAAATCCTCCACTTTTAGCTTGTTTAGTCATGGATTCTATTTTAAGATGTTAATGAGATATTTGTTAACATGCCTTACAGGGGGATGTGGTGCCTGCGTTGTCCTGCTTTCGAAATATGATTCTGTTAGTGACAAGGTTGAGGACTTCACTGTAAGTTCGTGTCTCACACTGCTAGGCAGTGTAAATGGATGCTCGATCACAACGGCCGAGGGTATCGGGAACAGCAAGGATGGGTTCCACCCGATTCAAGAACGGTTTTCCGGTTTCCATGCTTCTCAATGTGGCTTCTGCACTCCTGGAATGTGTGTTTCTCTGTACTCGGCTCTCGTCAATGCCGAGAAGTCGGATGATCGACCCGATCCCTGCCCGGGATTCTCCAAGCTTACGGTTTCCGAAGCAGAAAAGTCTATTGCGGGAAACCTTTGTCGATGCACTGGCTACAGACCTATAGTCGACGCCTGTAAAAGTTTTGCCACTGATGTTGACATGGAGGATTTGGGGTTTAACTCCTTTTGGAGAAAAGGGGAAAACAATGAAGTGAAGCTGAGTAGATTACCTTTATACGATCACAAGAACGCAATTCGCGTGTTTCCCGATTTTCTAAAGAAGGAAACGACAGTTGGTGCCAATGTGGACTCTCAGAGATGCCGTTGGTTTAGTCCTGTTAGTCTTGAAGAGCTACAAAGTTTACTGCAAATGGCAGCTAATAAGGGAGCTCCGACCAAGATTCTTGTTGGCAACACTGGAACGGGTTATTACAAGGAGCTTGTGCACTATGACAGCTACATTGATTTAAGATATATTCCCGAGCTTTCGATCATTAGAAAAGATCCAACAGGGATTGAAATTGGAGCAGCTGTGATGATTTCTAAAGCTATCGAAACTTTGAAGGAAGAAAATCAAGGTGAATTCAATAAAGAAGCTAAACTGGTGTTCAAAAAAATCGGTGACCACATGGAGAAGATTGCTTCAAAGTTCATCAGGAATTCAGGTAGTGTTGGTGGGAATTTGATGATGGCCCAGAGGAAACATTTTCCATCTGATATTGCTACAATACTACTTTCTGTGGATACAATTGTGGAGATAATGACCGGTCAGAGTTGTTTAAAGCTTACACTAGAGGAGTTCCTTGGAAGGCCTCCACTGGATTCGAAAACTGTTCTATTAAGTATTAAAATCCCATGTTGGGAGTCAAACAGCTGTGTTTCTTCTGATGCTCACGATAAGTTACTGTTCCAAACATATCGAGCTGCACCGCGCCCCCTTGGAAATGCACTCCCGTACTTGAATGCTGCTTTCTTGGCTCAGGTATCTCTCCATGAGAGTTCTACAAGATATATGCTCAAAAACTGTCAGTTCGCGTTTGGCGCTTATGGAACCAAGCACGCTATTAGAGTGAAGGAGGTTGAGGAGTTCCTATGTGGGAAATTGCTAAGCATTAAAGTGCTGTATGAGTCTATTAAGTTACTTGAAACTTTGGTAATACCTGAAGATGGCACCTCTAGTCCAGCTTATCGATCAAGCTTGGCTGTTGGGTTCCTTTTTGAGTTCCTAAGCCCCTTAATCGATTCCCCTGTCGAAATTTCTAATGGCCTGGTTAATGGATATAATGGGGCTTCATTGTTCAAGGATTCAAATCAGGAGCGTGATCAGTTCGTTCAAACTGAATTCCCAACTTTGTTATCATCCTCAAAGCAGGAAATTCAGTTAAAAAATGAATATTATCCAATAGGACAACCAACGATAAAACTCGGAGCTATCCTCCAAGCTTCTGGTTTGTTATACCTTGCATGTTTACTTGAACTTTATTGACGATGAACACATTTGATCAAATTGTTTATGTTGCTTATTCCATTCAATTATATAGGTGAAGCTATTTATGTTGATGATATTCCTTCTCCAAAAGATTGCCTGTATGGAGCATTTATTTATAGCACAGAGCCTCGGGCAAGGGTGAAGGGCATAAAACTCAACCCCGGAACATCACCAGATGGAGTTATTACACTTATTACTTCCAAAGACATTCCTGGTTTGAATGTCGGTTCTATATCGACTTTTGGAACTGAACCTTTATATGCTGATGAGCTTACTGAAGGATTTGGTCAGCGGATTGCCTTTGTGGTAGTTCCATGACTATTGTTAATGTTGATGTGCTACAATGCTATATAAGTTTCTTTCATGCCTATGTCTCTCGAGTTTTTAGAACTTGATCATGGAAATTACGATTTCAGGTTGCAGATACACAGAAAAACGCAGACACTGCGGCTGCTCTTGCAGTGGTTGAATATGACAAGGAAAACCTAGAACCACCAATATTATCTGTAGAAGAGGCAGTTGAGAGATGTAGCTTTTATAAGGTTCCTCCTCCCCTTTATCCTAAACAGGTTGGCGATTTATCAAAAGGAATGGCTGAAGCTGACCACCAAATTCTCGATGCTCAGGCAAGTTCGTATATTTTTTGTTTCCTCTTTGAATAATGACCTCAGAAATCTATATTTATTTGGCATTCTTTGTTTAAATTTAACTATGCTACAATTCCTATGGTGTCATTACTTACTAGGGAACTAATGATAAAACTTTTATCATGGAAAACATGTTGATATTTTGGTTAAAATGTTCCATCTAGATCAAACTTGGGTCGCAGTACTACTTTTATATGGAGACACAAACCGCTCTTGCCATCCCAGACGAGGACGACTGCATGGTGGTATATAGTTCTATTCAATGCCCTGAGTATGCTCACAATACGATAGCTGGATGCCTTGGTGTTCCTGGCCATAACGTTCGTGTAAAAACTAGAAGGCTCGGAGGAGGATTCGGTGGAAAGGCTGTCAAATCCATGGCAGTATGTTCCTCTTTCTTCTTTTATACTTATATATTGATCATCTCTATCGAAATCATCATATTATGCGAAGACGAAAGTAAACTTCGGTGCATTGAATCTAATTGTACTTGTCTTGGTTATCCATTATAACTTATATATTATTTTGTTTTTTCATATATTGAAAGGTTGCATCAGCATGTGCAGTAGCTGCTTACAGATTACACCGTCCAGTTCGAGTTTATGTCAATAGAAAGTTCGATATGATAATGTCGGGAGGAAGGCATCCGATGAAAATAACTTACAGTGTGGGATTCAAAAGCAACGGGAAGATTACAGCACTGAAACTTGATATCTTGCTTGATTCAGGGATGTTTGTCGATGTAAGTCCGATAATGCCCGGTCATATGCTAGGTTCACTTAGAAAGTATGATTGGGGTGTTCTATCTTTTGATATAAAGCTCTGCAAAACTAACCTTCCCAGCCGAGCAGCGGTGAGAGCCCCGGGAGATGCACAAGCTTCATACATTTGTGAAGCTGTAATCGAACATGTTGCATCATACCTTTCGATGGAAGTCGATTCTGTTCGAAATATTAATCTCCATACTCACAACAGCCTTGGCTTCTTCTTCCCGAGTTCTGTAGGAGAACCTTTGGAATATACGTTACCTTCAATATGGGAGAGGTTGGCCACTACTTCGAGCTTTTACAAGAGGACCGAAATGGTTAAAGAATTCAATAGCTGTCATAAATGGAAGAAAAGAGGGATTTCAAGGGTGCCTATTGTCTACGAAGTGATGATGAGACCGACCCCGGGGAGAGTAAGCATACTACGTGACGGATCAATTGTTGTTGAGGTTGGAGGAATCGAGATGGGGCAGGGCCTCTTGACAAAAGTGAAACAAATGACTGCATATGGCCTTGGATTGGTTAAATGTGGTGGAACACAAGATCTATTGGATAAAGTAAGGGTCACTGAAGCCGATACTTTGAGTGTAATTCAAGGTGGTATGACTGCGGGAAGCACGACTTCAGAGTCAAGCTGTGAAGCAGTTCGACTCTGCTGCGACGTCCTGGTCGAAAGACTTATCACTGTCAAGGAAAAGTTGATGGAGCAAGTCGGGTCCGTAGAATGGGAGAGACTGATTCTTGAGGTAGCCATTTCTACTTCTTTGACATTTTCATGATCAGATGATAATCACAGTAATCACTTTTTCATCTCCGGTGTGCAGGCATATCTTAACTCTGTAAACTTATCAGCAAATGCATTATACGTACCAAACGTTTCCAGCATACGATATATAAACTATGGTGTGGCCGTAAGTGAGGCAAGTTTTCTCGACACGTCCCATTTAGCTTTCGGTTTCATGCTTGTATCACAAGTAATACAGTTCATGTCAAAGTACATTCTAATTCAAGCCGATGAACACAATATAATAGTCATATCCAGACCATAGTTTTTTTTATTCATGTTTGTATTACAAGTAATGCAATTCATGCCAAAGTACATTCGGCTTCGAGCCAGTGAACACCGTATAGTAGTCATAGTAGATCATGCCATAGTCTTAGATTGCTTTCGTAGTTTACCAGTTTCAGACAATCGATTCTGCAGGTGGAGGTAAACCTTATAACAGGTGAAACGATAATTCTTCGGACGGATATCATATACGACGGTGGTCAAAGCTTAAACCCCGCCGTCGATTTGGGACAGATTGAAGGAGCTTATGTTCAAGGAATCGGGTTCTTTATGCTTGAAGAATACCTCACAAATTCAGATGGATTGGTGATTACAGACAACACATGGACTTACAAGATCCCTACAGTGGACACCATTCCGAAGCAATTCAACGTCGAAATCCTCAACAGTGGACATCATAAAGACCGTATTCTTTCCTCCAAAGGCAAGTCATTCTATTACATTTGACTGCAATTCGAATTGTTGGATATCATACTTAGCTGTAAATTTGTATCCTTTTTTGTTATCCTTTGCAGCTTCCGGTGAGCCACCATTGACATTAGCAGTTTCGGTTCACTGTGCTACAAGAGAAGCCGTAAGAGAAGCGAGACGGCAAGTTCGTTCATGGGGCGGCGAAAACGAGGCTGGTGCGACATTAGTCCAATTGGAGGTACCTGCCACAATGCCTGTGGTGAAGGAGCTTTGCGGGCTTGACTCTGTTCAGAAGTACTTGCAGTGGGCAATTGGCAAAAAATGAGGGTAAAACCTTTAGTATCTTTGTGTGTGTGTGTGTACACACGTACGTACGTATTCACACGTAAAATACTACAAGGTGGGAGATTTCTTCACACTGAAGCAAATATCATAATTTATACATATGTATATGGAAAGCCGTATGTGTACATTTTGAAAGGGGTGGATGTATACAAAACTGACCAGAAATAAGCTTTGTTTTCATTTCATGGGTGATTTTATGGATAGGCTGAATTGAATCAATTTAGATTAGGCCCGTAAATGAACTGAACGTTCAGCGAACCGTGCGTCGGGAAGTTCGTTTATGTGCGTTTATTTATCAAATGAACGAACATGAACAAGATTTTTTGTTCGTTTAATTAAATGAACGAACATGAACATAGGTCTCGTTCGTTCATTTACGTTCGTGAACGTTCGGTTGTGTTCGTTTATGTTCGTTCGATTATGTTCGTTTATGTTCATTCATTTATATTTAACTCAATCTTCTTAAATCAATTTTTGTGATCAATTTGTAAGTATCTTAAAAATATTAATTAATCTGATATTCTGATGACCAACTCCATAATTAACCTAATTTTATTTGGAAAACCCAACAATATTAACATGGTTTAGTTCTTTTTGAACGATCCATAAGCTGCATACCTAGCACCGTCAATATCCACTGCGCCGGAATCCTATGTGACTGCGCCACCAGTTGATTATCCGATGAGCAAAGAGGAGTCCCAGAAACTGGTTGCTTTCGAAACCAAGTCCAAAGGTGATGGATTTCAGAAGGGATGTTAAGTATTAAGCACTGTTTCTTCTACTGAAATAATCTTCTTTTCTTTCATATATAATGGAGTATTCGAATTTACAAGTAAATAGTGATCAACCAGCAACCCAAGTCAGCTTACTTTGAACTCAAGAACCCAATAATAGTGAGGCATTATTCCATAGGTTGAGAAGTTCTTTAACGCGTTTCATCAAACAAATTTTGTGCGCCATCCGGATATAGAAGTTTAGCCAGCCGAGAAAGAATGGTTTTTGATGTATGAGTTGGTGTGAACAATAAAGTAACCTACTTCTCTCATCTCCCAATTTTCAACTTCTACATAGAACGAAGCTAAGGACATGTTTGTTTGATCCCCAAGGATTAAGGTCGACAATCACATGAAACATAATTTGTGTTCATCTCGACTGTTGTTAAAGGAGAGAGGAAGAAAAAAAGTGGAGGAACGCTATGCAATCCCACATCAGTAGCAAACAAGCAACTCAGGGTTGGTAACTTATATAAAAGAAGATGGGGGAGAATAGGTTTAAGCATCTTTGCGCTTGGGGCAATGTCGAGCTTGAATCGAGCTCTGAATCGAGCTTCAATTGAGCTTGAGTCTCGAGTTTTAATCGAGCTCTTAATTTTTTTTGAGTTCGAGCCTTTTCGAGTTTGAGTCGAGTTTCAATATTATATTTCAAGTTCGAGTCGAGCTTGATAATTTTATGCTCGTGAGTTTTCGAGTTAAGCTGACTTTGAAAGTTTTCGAGTTCGAGTCGAGCTCAGCAATACTCGAGCTCGACTTGGCTCGTTTACACCCCTAGGTAGGGTATCTAATGTTTATGTTCGCATTCATTTATGTTCGTGTTCGTTTTTGTTCGTATTCGTTTTTTTTATTGTTCATGTTCGTTTTTGTTATTGTTCATTTATGTTCGTTTTTATATTCCTTAATAAACGAACATGAACAAAAAAAAATTTATTCGTTTATGTTCATTTATTTATTAAATGAACGAACATGAATATACATCCGTTCATGTGCGTTCGGTTCGTTTAGTTTACATGCCTAATTTAGATCATATCCAAAATACCTTTTATAATTAAAAAATCAAATAGAAAAATAATATAATTTTTTTAAAAAAAATACAAATTACATAGAAGCCGTGCTGAATAAGAACTCTAAGCTGATGCAAATACTGACAAAAAGAACTCAAAATCTATTTTTTAAACCAACAAATTTATCTTCTTCTCTTTCTTCTCATGTTTATCCAAACAAATTCAAAATTCACAGTCTTCAACGCAAACTCGAAAACCTCAAATGAAAACCTTATTTAATACCAAGAACATCGGCATGTACCGAGATCACGACGACAGTAGTAATCCGTTGTTGATTGAATCGCCGGGGACGACCAACTGGGCGTTTTTCGAGGACAAGATATTTGAGCGGAGTTTGGTTGCGTTTCCGGAGGGAACCCCTGATCGGTGGCAGATGATCGCCGCGTTGATTCCGGGAAGATCCGCCGAAGAAATTAAACAGCATTTCGATATGCTGGTTCATGATGTTCATGAGATCGATGCCGGTCGAGTTCAGGTTCCGAATTACGCCGACGATTCGGTGATGTCGGATTCGGAGTTGGATTCGAATAATCAAATCTATTTCGGTTCGAAGTCGAAGCAGCAAGGAGACAGTGAAAGGAAGAAGGGAACTCCATGGACGGAAGAGGAACACAAGTACGTCAAATTTCACTTTATTAGTTGATTTGAAATCACTCAACAATGTTAGAATTTGAATGATTGTTTGTGAAATTTGAAGTTTTGATGCCCTAAACAGAATGATTAATTGTGCCGTGATTCGTTTGAATGGATAACAGGCTATTCTTACTTGGGTTGAGTAGATTCGGAAAGGGAGATTGGCGGAGCATATCAAGAAACGTGGTGGTGACTCGGACATCGACTCAGGTGGCTAGCCACGCTCAGAAGTATTTTCAGCGGCAGAATTCAATGAAAAAGGAGAGGAAAAGATCGAGCATCCACGACATTACCACCGTCGATACCCATGTGACGGATCTGCTCGTCGAACAGAACATGGTTCCGGGTACTGTTCGACAGTTGCCTCGTTAGGTAGGAAAACATGGGTATCCCAATCCAAGATAAGATCGGAGCTCCAAAACAATGTACATAAGGCAATTCATTACACCCCATGGATTTAGCTTGTTCAGATATTTTGGTGTACGTACACTGATTCGGTACGAGTTTGATTCGTTGATTACCAACTTTGTTCTTACCAAGGTTACGAAAATGAATGAGAATTTAGAGATGTTATCACTACACCTTGTTCAGTCCCATTCAAAAACGCCCATTAACCGGGTCAACTTTAAACATTGAGAAATATCGTCGGTGAACCTAAAATTCTCTCAGTATTCTTCTGGTCCCGCCGTTGTTTAGTCTTGATAAGAAGGTCAGTGAAGAGATTTCGTGAGGAATTCCTATTTAATTTAGTGGAGATGGGTATATTTCTTTCGATATTGAAATTATATTCAAATACAAATAGCTTACCACGTCTAGAAATATATCGCTCGCATTATATTTTGATACATCAAAAATAATACTCATTAAATAGTAAGACAATATTATATTAAAAACTCCATTAATTATTTTAACATTAATCCTTTCAGAGACTTATTTTTAAAAAAGTCCTTCAAATTGCACACGTAAAATTACCTCCCATCTTATCCAGCACGAGAATGTGTCTCGCGTGCATTTTTCAGATTATTTAGTACCTCACGTTTCTCAGAATGTGAGGTCCATGAGGTATTGGGATATTATATTTCGTAGAAATTTTGAGATTTAATATTTGAAAAAATTTACGTACTTTACGCTTCGTATAACGGCTTTGAGGAGTGCGATGACCACTACAAATAGGTCTCCGTCGACTAGAATTCCTCACACCTTGCTTAAAAAAAATTCTCACATATATTCTCTTTCTCATATTATTATAGTCGGACTGTTGAAAACTGATCTTCCAAACTGGCATGAAAATTTGGAGGTAATTTTTATTTATTTATTTATTTTAAATTTATGTATTCATTTGTTTCTAATTTATTTATTTATTTATTTTGATGGATTTATTTATAAAAACGACTACTGGACAAAAAATACAAATATAAATTTTAGAAAAACGACTACTGGACAAGCGGAAGAGAAAGAGAGAGTAAAATGGAAGCAATGGGACCATTGTTGTGATCATTTATTCTCTATAAATGGCTACCACTCTCCATTCCCACATCCTGAATCAACAGTCTCATTGGACTACAGCTTTATCATCTCTCTCTGTCTCTCTCTGTGTGTGTGTTCCTCTTGTTTCTCCCTGTATTGTTTTCCAGCTAGTTGTTTCCAGTAAGTTCAAAGTTCGAACTTTTATTTTTCAGAACACCTTCTACCAATATAACATTTGCATCCATTCTTCTGCCATTTTCAAGGTTGAATCTTTACCGTTAAATTCAAACTACTGGTTTAATTCTGTATGAAGTCGTACTTAAAGTTTCAGTTTTTAGCTTAATACAATTCCAACTTTCTTTAAATATTCAGTCTTTCAGAGAGAAAGCTTGATCTGTGAACTGGAAAAAAATGGGGAGATTTGCAATACCCAAGTTGGGATTTGTACTTTTATGCTGCTTGGCAAATACAAAGACCCAAAGCAGCCATTGGCTGCTAGAATCAAAGACTTAATGAGTAGGATGACTTTGGCTGAAAAGATTGGCCAAATGACTCAGATCGAGCGCTCTGTTGCCACCCCAGATGTCATGAAGAACTACTTCACTGCTATATAAAACCCAAACCATCTTTATAGGCAGCCATTAACATGACTTGTTTTTGTTCCATGGTTGTATATTTATTGGCAGTTCCTCTGCGATTTGCTCAGCTGGTTTCACTTTGCGTGTGGATACGTTAATGGTGTTTTGATAATGAAAAATGAGTTGTGTTGTCATTGGATGTGGTTTCATGTTTTGTTGCAGGGAGTGTTTTGAGTGGTGGAGGGAGTGCACGATGCAGAAGGCGGCTTTATCCACCCGTCTCGGGATTCCGATGATATATGGGATTGATGCAGTTCATGGGCATAACAATGTGTATAAGGCCGCTATTTTTCCTCATAATGTTTGTCTTGGAGTGACCAGGCAAGTTTATATTCATTTCCCATAGATATGGACTAGAGATTTAAACAGTTTGGCCTGTATTTGTGGGTGAAAGTTTGATAAATTACGATTTGCATATTCGTTTAAATAATTGAACAATTCAACCATGAATTTGGTATTCCATACTATGCTTTTTGGAACATCAAGAAAGTGGACAACATTCTGAGAATTTCCTGCAAGAAGAACAATGAGAGTATAAAGTGACATTATAATTGTTCATCGGAACCATTTAAGGAACTTTGTTTTTAATCTGCAGGGATCCTCAACTTATCAAGAAGATTGGAGATGCAACTGCACTTGAAGTTAGAGCCACAGGAATCCCATATGTTTTTGCGGTAATTAAGCACGATAACATTGCTCGGATGCTGAAATATGATGAAAAGAGTAGACAGTGTGCACTAATTGTTTGCTCGTACTTTTTTTTTTTTTTTGCTGTCAATCTTTCACAGGTGTGCAGAGATCCGAGGTGGGGTCGATGCTATGAAAGCTATAGTGAGGATCATAAGATTATACCTGGTTTACAAGGAGACCTCCCTGCCAATTCTAAAAAGGGTGTTCCCTTTGTTGCTGGAAAGTAAGTCTCTTTATTATAACCAACCATCTAATAAGTCTAGTGTTTCTAATACAACGTATAATGCCAATTTCCCAAAAGTAAAAGTTCCCAAGTTTGTCGTAGATCTTGTAGACATCTTTAGGTGTAATCATGTGGTTGGGTTCATTGTGGGGCATTTAGCCCTCTAAATATAAGACATTTGAATAATGAAGCAAAGTACTAGGTCCAGAAAGTCTTTTCTATACCATACCTTGTTAGGTAGATGAGGCTCCATTATCTGCTCTGCTGCTTGCAAAGTTGTTAGCTACTATGTCACTCAGATTTGGATGTGAATGTCAGATACGGATATGTGTCCGACATACTTCTATGTTTTTCTTGTGTTTAGAGGGTCCATGAATGATAATACGGACATGGATAGCTGCTGCTAAAGTCCACTGTTGGGAAGAAAAGTAACTTGGTAAAGTAGTTATGTTGATTTATAACTTCTCTTACCGTACATTTCCGAATTAGGTCCCCTAGATTTGAGAATTAATCAATTTTGATCACCAAGATTAATTCTTAATTTTTAGTTAGGTCCTAATTTTAATTTAATTTAATAAATTTACACCCCAAGGGAATTCAACTTGGGTCCCAAGGGTAACATGTGCATGCCTTAACCATGAGCTAATTCTCACGCATGTTATTAAGATAATACATATGTTATATAACTTGTTCAAGTTTAGGCAGAAAAAAATTAAAATAACTTAATTAGATTTGAACCCAAAATGAATTAGTAATCAAGCAAGCCTTAACCAATGAGCTAAATCTAATATTCAGGAATCAATTATAATATATTATATATTATAGTTAATGATAAAATAAAACGGATAAGTGAGAACTTACATTTAGGCCAATTGAGAATTTGACAACACTTAAATCACTAAAATAAATCTAATAGTTTATTTATAATTGATTTAAAATTTCAATATTTTCAAACTAAATTTACTGTTTTCATATTTATTTTTTAATGATTATATATATATATATAATCATTAAAAAATAGTTTAATGTTCAAATTATAATATATATATATATATATAGTTAATGATAAAAATTAAATTATATTATAGTTAATATTCAAATTATAATCATAAGATTATGACATGTGCCACAATTTGATTGAAGAAATAAATTTATTAAATTAAATTGAAATTATGACCTAATTAAAAATTAAGATTAAAGTTAATATTGGTGATCAAATTGATTAATTCTAAAATCTAGGGGGTTTAATCAACAAATTTAATACATGACTAGAATAAAAGATTTTAAAGTTAATACTCAAATTAAGGTATTAGACAAATTAAAAACATGATCAGGATCAAATTGGATTAAATGAAAATCCAAGGAAACAAATCATATATAAGTAGTGATCAAAATGGAAGAAAACAAAGTAGGATGCCAGCTTCGCGAATACATAACTTTACAAGGACTCATATCGTAATTATACCAATTTTTAACTGCCATGTAAATACATCTGTTAAATGTTAACGGTGTGTGGCTATTTTGAACTCATTTAAATAATATAGTGGTTATATTGACGCAAATTTGAAAATGATGGTCATTTCACGACCTAGCCCATAGTTATGTAGTCATTTATGTAGTTTACCCTTATTTTTTAAAGTCTCACTCTTAAGTTCGAGCACTAAAAACAACAAAAATAATTTATAAAGTGTAAACTAGAATAATGAGATTTCATTATGAAATTATCGAGAATCTTTAAAACAAACTCTACTTTATAATCATCATAAGTTAATGAAAAAATCTGCTTATTTGATAAAACTATAAACTTGATGAAAAAAATAGACGGGATGTATAAACTTTCGATGTTTATATGCTTTTGTGTGTGTGTATATATATATATATATATATATATATGGGTTAAGATCCACTTATGTGGATGAAAAAAATATACTAGATGTATAAAACATATATAGGTTATGATCCATTTACAAATCAAACAGTGTCTTGTGTCACTGGTGCCAAGTGTAATGACATGTGTGACCATATGATTGGGCAATTAAATTTATTTTTAATATATTTTCTCACCAATTAGAGAGTGACACGTGTCACCTCTAGAGGAAAAAAAATTGGACGCTTAAATGATACCCAATAGGAATCCAACATGGAGTTTTTGGGTTGAAGAAGCAAGGCTCAACCGTTGAGCCAATGCAATTGGTTCAAATTTGACTACATATGTTATTTATGTTGTATATATGTGTGTGAGAGAGATTATTATTAAACTAAGCTGATTATAAAGTAGTATATGCTTTAAATATTCTCAGTCATTTGGTGATGAATGCAGCGACACCTGGTATTCGAACACGTGACATCTAAGAACAACAACGATTACTTTTAACACGGAGGTAAATTGGTTTGTACAACCTAAAAATATATTTTATTCTTATCTTAACTTAAAAACATATTTTAGACTTTATCTTAACTTAAAAAATATATTTTATTCTTATCTTAACTTATTACATAAATTATATTCTTTACTTAAATTATTAAATATATTATATTCTTACCTGAAATTATTAAATATAATTAATTATTATTTTAACTTAAAACATATCTTTTATTATTATCTTAACTTAAAAATATATTTTTATTTTAACTAGAAAAATATATTTTTAATTTTGTCTTAACTACAAAAAATATATTATATTTTTATCTTAAATTTAAAATATTATCATAATAAAATATATATATTTAATTTAAGATAAGAATAAATTATATTTTTAATTTAAGATAAGATTAAAATATATATTTTAAAATTAAAATAAGAATAAACTATATTTTTAGGTTACGAAAAGAATAAAATATATTTAATATGTTGAGATAAAAAAAATTAATGTTAAAATGTAAAATTAACTTAATATGTGAATTTAAGTTAATATATATAAAATAATAAGAATTTAAGTTTACACTAATATACAAAATAAATAACATATGTAGTCAAATTTAAACTAATTAACTTCATTGACTCAATGGTTGAGTCTTGCTTCATTAACCCATGAATCCCATGTTTGATTCTTATGGGTATCATTTAAGTGCCCAAAATTTTCTTTCCTCTAGAGGGTGACAGGTCTTATCTTCTGATTAGTGAGAAATATGATAGTGACACATGTAATTACATTACCAGTGACACATGACATCATTTGATTTAAGGGTTAAATTTATTTTATTAAAATTAAGACCAAATTGATAGAATATATAAATAATAGTGACCAAATGTGTAATTATACTAAATATTTTAATTTCGACATTAGTTTCTTCATTAAATATTAACGAAAAGTGGCTTAATTGAATACATTTTAATAGTTGAGTGATATGGTTGATAAAATTTCAAAAATGATGGTCAAAATGAAAAGGAGAAATACTTAGGTGATCACTGATATAATTGATCATTTATTTTAAATAATTTATCTTTACTATTTTAACTAATTTATAATTATATGTTGAATCTTTTAGAATTTTAAATTTTTATAAATTAAATCAATGATGTTCATCGTCAATGACGCTACTCGTAGAGGGTAGTAGAATTTTTTTATCATTTAATCAAAATTTTAAACTAAAACCAAACAATTGAAGAATCATCTACCCTTCTCATTTCCAAAGATACAAACAAAGATTTGAACCTAAAGCCAAAGATAACTTGATCACATTATAAACCTAAAACCAAAGATTTGAAGAAGCACCTACCCTTGTCATTTCATTATCTACCAATTACCAAAATGTTGAGGCAGCATAAATGAGATCTACCTAACCCCCTACCCGTCCATTAAAGCATACAAACAAAGGGTTTCTTGCTTACCTGATAAAGGTTCAAACTTTAGCTGAAGAACTCACTTATTTTCTGTTTCAAGCTTTTATTTTTACTTTTATTTTTTAATTTTCTCAAATTTTGTAGCCATGACTCCAATGGGATTTTTTGGTTTACTGTTTTTGCTGCTTGCTTTGTACTGTGGGATAGACCCTTTTAAGAAAAGTGCAATCTCTGAATTCCCTGACTTCGAGGCTCACAAGGTGGATATGCCTCCATGGGAACTGGTTCCCACGGATAGGGACAATGATAATTTGCTTCAGAAATCGGAGATTAAGTTCTTGAACCAGGTTCAGGGTCCCGAAAGCATTGCATTTGACCCTCTTGGTCGTGGCCCTTACACTGGTGTTGCTGATGGTCGTGTTCTTTTCTGGGATGGTAAAAAATGGAAGGATTTTGCTTATACTTCCAGCAATAGGTCAGTTTTCAAGTTCTTGCTAATGTGCTTCTGTTTTATCCATTTCGATAGTTTTAGTTGCAGAGTTAGATTATGTTACATATTTGTATTCACTGACTGAACTAAAAGCCAGTTGAATGATCAATACTGCAGAAACTGGGTGCTTCTATATGGATTTAGGGAACTGTTCTGAATGTCCAATTAATCAAAAAGAAAAGAAACATGATTTTTGTTTTGTTTTTGTTTTTGGGATTTATTGGAAATGAATCTCTCTCAAACACTAAGCCATTGTGTAATTTGGGATTTCAGGTCAGAAATATGTAATCCGAAGCCATCACCGTTGAGTTACCTACCGAATGAGCATATCTGCGGTAGGCCTTTGGGCCTTCGGTTTGATAAGAACACCGGTGATTTGTACATTGCGGATGCATATTTGGGGTTGTTCAAGGTAGGCCCGGAAGGCGGTTTAGCGACATCGCTTGTAACTGAGGTAGACGGAGTGCCCCTTAGGTTTACCAATGACCTTGACATTGATGATGAAGGAAACATATATTTTACTGATAGCAGCAGCAAATTCCAGCGAAGGTAGGTTTTAAATAACTTTGTTGAAGTTCATAATGCCTTTGGAAAACGACTGAATTGGCATTCGAATGCCACCTGTTTCTACTAATGAAATTATTTGATTTTGCCAATACTTCCTTTTATACTATGTCTTACTTTATATGGTTGGAAATCATTTGATTCATAGTGCATATATATTCTTTGATTATTGTCTCTGTATGAGCATTCCTCAGCCTTGAGGGTGTAAGGGTTCTTCACAATGCTCCGAAATATCCGAGAATCATGCATGTGCCTGAGTCCTGATGGCTCCTTAAGTTACCTGCATTGCTTTTTAGCTTACATCCCAGGATGGGATACTTCTCTTGCATTTTTACATCACCCATATCAGTTTGTGTAACTTACACTCGAGAAAACTTTCTGTTTACTACATTAATTTCTTCCTCAAATGACCCCAACATGCTGAGTGCAGATTATTAGTAATTAGTTCTGACACGGTAGTATTCAGGAACTTCATGCAGCTTGTTTTTTCTTCGGAGAAGAGCGGGAGGTTGCTAAGGTACAACCCGCACACAAAGGAAACCTCTGTCCTTCAGAGAAATATCCAATTTCCGAATGGTGTATCCGTAAGCAAAGATGGTTCTTTCATTGTACTTTGTGAAGGATGTTCTGGAAGGTAAGCTTGCTTCTTCATTTCCTCAAATATTGTTGCCCTATATACGCATGTACTATAGCGGTATAGCCATTAAAAATGCTATTCATTTCGATTTAAATCCGAAGATGACATTTAACACTTGTAGAACCCATTTCACTTCAACTCATGCAGTAAAAGCCGATACTGGAGTCCAGGAATTTTGAAAAGATCGTGTTTAGAAAAATGGTAGTTGCCAACGGTGATTAGTAGATCGTTTTTTTTCCTTTACCAGGAGTTTCTTTTTTGTCACTAATTGACTGGATTTCAGAGGAGATGCAGATATTAAAAACTTCCAAGACTGTTCAAAGTTGGTTTATAATAGTTTAACTGCTGCTATGTGATTACAGATTGCTCAAGTACTGGTTGAAAAGTGAGAAAGCAGGGAGTTCCGAGATGTTTGCCATCTTACCGGGATTCCCGGACAATGTCCGAACGAACAAAGATGGTGAATTCTGGGTAGCAATGCATTGTCGCAGGTCCACGTACGCTCATGTAATGGGATTAAACCCGAACCTCAGGAAATTCGTTCTCAAGCTCCCCATATCCGCGTACATCCAATACCTGCTTCAGATTGGCGGTAGGCAGCACGGAATTGTTGCGAAATACAGTCCAGAAGGAAAGCTGTTGCAGGTCTTGGAGGATAGCGAAGGGAAGGTTGTGAAAGCTGTTAGCGAAGTCGAAGAGAGGGATGGCAAGCTCTGGCTAGGGAGTGTTCTTATGCCCTTTGTGGCAGTTTACGACTTGGCCTGAGTTGAAAGGCAAAGTCTTCGGTAATAATAACTTGTCAAAGTTGTTTTTCTTTCGTCAAACCAAGTCATCAAGGTTTTGGGATGTAAATGGACAGAGACACGAATTATATCGTATAACGTTTGTTTATGTTTATTTATCGTATAACGTTCATGATTTAATCGTTAAGCTAAAACATGAACACAATTGAGAAACTTGGAATTATAAATGGAAAATCAAACAACGTAAAATCTCTGAATCGGCTTTTTTTTTGGAATTTAATTCATTGCTGGGCGATTTGACCAACACTGTTTAACCGAATATTTATCTTTTTAGCACCGTTTGATATATATTTTCCGAAGTGGCATCCTTTCGGTTGAGCTGGCGAAAGGCGTATCCTCGGGGACGCGCTTTACCCAGATTTTCGCTGAGTTGGATGCCACGTGTTGAAGGCGCATCCCCGGGGACGCGCCTTCCCGGGATTCTGATGACTCGGCTGCCACGTGTGGAAGGCGCATCCCCGGGGACGCGCCTTCCATTAAATGCCATAAATGCCCCCATCCGTTTTCCCCTAACTATCCCTCCTCTTCCCCTATATAAACCCCCTCAACCCTCCCTCATTCTTCGCACCAAAATCATGTTCTCCTCTCTTATATAACTCAAATTCTCCAACTATTT